TTTTTTTTTTTTTTTTTTTGGTGAGCAAGATTGGCTCTGGGCTAACATCTATTACCAATCTTCCTCTTTTTGTTGAGGAAGTTTAGCCCTGAGCTAACCTCCTTGCTCATCTTCCTCTATTTTTGTCTATGGGACACCACCACAGCATGGCTTGATGAACAGTGCATAGGTCCACTCCCAGGATCCGAACCTGCAAACCCTGGGCTGCTGAAGTGGAGCACATGAACTTAATCACTATGCCACTGGCCCCCTGTGCTTGGCTTTTTATATTCTCTAGCTGATAGGACTAAATAGTAATATCTCCACTTATATCTATAAAAAGCCAATAATTAACAGTAAAATCATACAAGGTCACTTACATTCTATGAAAGACTCTAATGTTTATGTCACTGTCTGTCATTCTACACCAAGTGTCTTTGTTTTTCTCTGTAGTGTCCCTGTTTAGCCCCACACCTTCCAGCACACGTTTGTCAGTCTGTCTGCCTCTCTGACTTTCATGTATCCCTCCTTGTCTTTCCCTTTCTGACTTTGGCCTGTCCTAGTGTTGTCTCTCTTTACCTCTGTACCCATGGCTGTCTCTCCGTGTCTCTCTGTTTGTTCTTCCCTATCTTCCCCTTCCTTTGCTCTCTCTCTCCTTTAACTGTTCGTTTTATAGGAAAAAAAGACATTGAGGATGGTTTTGTTTTGCCTTTTCTTAAATTAAAATTCTTAATTCGTATATGTAGCAAATTTGTTTAGCTCTGAAAAGTAAACAAATTAAGTATTTTTTATTTGTGATTTTCAGGATTTTTTTCCTCTGATTCACTGGATCTTAAGAGAAAAAAAGAATCCCCATTCCCAATTCAAGGGAAGCAAACCGTGGTAATTTGTAGCCATCAGGGCCCAACCACTGATCTCGATAAGTTAACAGGAAGAATTTCTTATTTGAAGTTGTCGTTTGAGGATGTCAGGTGTAAAGTTATTTAATTCTGTGTGCTACATTTTTAAGCAAAGGGACACCATGATTGGTTATTTTAGACATACTGCCCTAAATCAAACTCTCCCCTGCCCCTCCCCAAAAGAGTGAGAATTGCAAATCTCCCAAAGTTTCTATATAATTTAGCAAAATCTGTAGATATTTCTTTTTGTCACAACAGTTTAAATTTGTTCAGTTCCTATTTTGTTATACTTCAGAGGAATTGTTTCCTTAAATACTTCATAATGAATCTAAAAGTTAACAGGAAATATAAATAGAGAGCAGATGAATTCTCATGCACTGCTTATATCACCTTTTTTCCGCTTTTGCAAAACTAAGTAAACGTTATTGACTTAGAGTAACTGAATCCTTTGCTGTCTTTAACAGTTACCATGGGGCTGTGGCCTATCTGCTGTTTATGTTGCTTAAATTTAGCTTGTCCTTTGTCATTGAGCCGTATCCTAAGACTTAAACTGTATTTATATTAACCAAAAAGGAATGTTTCACCACTAAAAGCAGTAGTCAGCTGAAACCAGGTGCGCTCTCCACTTGAGCTTTGTACATTTTTCTCCTTGTTTCTTAATGAGTGGTTTCACCTGCATAACCATTAAATAAGTTATCTATAGGAAAAAAATCACATTTTTCCAGATACATCTTGGCAATCTGTGTACTTAATGTTGTAGTACATTTTTATTGTTATTCACAAGTTTTGAAAGCAGTATGTGCGTATCAACCCAGTACTGCTTATGAGTGTTCTTTGAGACAGAAGAGCAGCAAATAGCATATTTGAGAGAGACTGATATGCAGGATTCTTTCTCAAGTATCTGATAAGGTGTATACTCCAGTCTATTAGACTAATTTATGCTAACCAAAGAGGGGTAGATAATTTCCCCTGCAGAAGTTTGTGTTTTCATTCTGTCCTTCCAGGCTTTGATTCCTTGCTTGTATTTGTTTCTGACTTGGTAGGAGCTGGATTTAAAGTTCCCTCTGACCACTCTGATATGTTGGCTAATCTGCCTTTCTGTAAAGTTAGTTCTTAGTATCCAAGTCATTCTTGGTTCTTAATAAATGATTACTCCTCGGTCATCCTAATATC